TTGATTCTCCTGGCGCAAATCCAGGTATTGTATATTCCATCACGATAATAACAAACAATTACCATTCAATAATAGAACAGTCATGGACTCTCTTTCAGTGAAGTGAATCTAAAATGTATTCATGAAGTTATGATGATCTGAAGTGTTTAAAAACGTACACAATAATAGTTGAACCAACTTTAAAATACCACAAACACAAATGTGCGTGACGATATTTTATTGCTTTAGAAATGTGATTTCAAAAAGTGTATTAGTGAGTCACGCACTGAGTATTTAATACATTTTCACGACAGGTTGGGCAAAATACATATAGGCCCCATTATTGATTCTCCTGACGCAAATCCAGGTATTGTCTATTCCATCACGATGATAACAATTACCATTCAATAATAGAACTTGCAGTGAACTGAATCTAAAATGTATTCATGAAGTTATGATGATCTGAAGTGTTTGAAAACGTACACAATAATAGTTGAACCAACTTTAAAATACTCTACCACAAACACAGAATGTGCGTGACGATATTGTATTGCTTTAGAAAAGTGATTTCAAAAAGTATATTAGTCCATCGTATACGTAAGGGCTTGTATTGTTGTTTTTGTTTTTTTTTACTTGCAGCGTTTTGGAAATAGGTAGGCCTAATAGGTAAATTGTAATGAATATAACCAATAACTATAGCCTCTAAAACCTAATATTATTGAAGGGTCCTTTTAATGTTTGAATAGGATTTTTTTAAAGTTAAATTTTTAGATCATTATACCTATTGAATGAGCCCCCAATAGCCTCGGGCCCCAGTGCTGTGCACTGACTGCACTACCCATACCTACGCCACTGGACCTGAGTATTATTAGTGGTTACATAACGTTTGCTATGCACTGTATCATGTGCTATAGAAGTGGAAGACCATAATGTATTGGGAATGTACCGTACTCTGGTAGGGCCTACAGTACAATCAGTTTAAAAGTGTAAGGTATAGGATAGTGTGGATTTTTAAACATTTTTCTAATGGTAAGGTTCAAAATAAGTGTCAAGGAAAGCAAGTGTGATTGTTGGAAAAAATGGTCAACATTTTATTTTGAATTCTCACCCTGACCTTCGCTTGGGCGAAGTGGGCGAAGGTCTGGATC